TATTGCTGGCCATGGAACCTTCCGAGACGGTAGTGGACTACGTGGGCCGTGCTAAAGGCTACAGCGACGACCTGACAGCTATGGGAGTGCCCGAATCGGAGAAGCAAATGATGAGCTACATCATTGGCGGCCTACCGAAATCATGGGCAGCAGAGAAGCGGATGCTGGCCTGCAGACGCCCGACGGACATGACGGACCTGGTGGAGTCCCTTCAAGACGTTGCGCTTATACGTGCTGAGGAAGAGCGAAGGGAGGCGCTGCCGGAAAATTTCAGCAACGACAAACCTGCCATGTTGAACGCAACCGGGGCAGGAAAATCATTTGGAAATTGCTTCCACTGTGGGAAGAAAGGGCACAAGGCTGTCGAGTGTTACTCCAACCCAAGAAGCAAGAATTTCAGAGGAAAGGGAGCAGGAGCAACCGGAGAAGGACAGAGGCCGAGAGGTGGATTTGCTGGAAACTGCAACCACTGCGGGAAATTTGGTCATAAGGCAATCGACTGCTACAGCAACCCGATGAGCAAGAGCTTCAAGGGAGGGCAGCAGCAGCAAAAGAATCACGTACCTGCGAAGATCAACGCCACCGAAGCGGAAACCAGCGACGACGACGTCATCCTCGGGGGAGCCCACAAGGCCAATGTTGCAAGAGCTTCGGGAGCATGCCTGTTTGCGAAGGGCCTTAAGGGGAAGGAGTGGTACATGGACAGCGGTTGTACCCAACACATGACGAACCAGAAGGAGTGGCTGAGAAATTTCAGAGCATCACCGATACCGTATGTGCTGTTGGGAGACGAGGGGAAACTTCCTGTGAAAGGGGAAGGAGACCTAGTGCTGCAAAGTGCTTATGGTGAGGTGAAGCTGGACAACGTGCTGCTAGTGGACAAGCTCACGCTTAACCTCATTAGCCAATCGCAGCTGGATAGTGGTGGATGCAAAACTTTCAGCGACAAGGGGAGCATATGGGTCTTTGGAGCGGATTGGAAGGTAATAGCGGAGGGATCACGCAAGCAAGGGCTGTACGAGATGAAGCTGCACGAGAAACAGAGTGGGGACAAGGTCACGTACCTGGCTGAACCGGAAGCGGGTAAGGTGGCACGAGATGAGCTCCGCACCAAGTTCGAAAGGGTGCCGATCAAGGAGTTGCAGCAGCAGGCGCTTCCTATGGCAGCAGCAGTGAGCACGGTGGACGTCAACCTGCTGCATAGGAGGATGGGGCACGCTGGTCATTATCGAATCAAGGAGCTGATCAAGAAGAACATGGCAGCGGGAGTGAAGGTACCTGAGGGTGGAGAGGAAAATCTGAAGTGCAGCACATGCGTGGAGGCAAAGGCGACAAAGGCACCACATCCCAAGCATGGAGTCCGTGAGCCATACGAGACGATGGCCATTGTGGCAGCCGACGTATGTGGACCGATGCGGGTGGCTTCACGGCATGGCAGCAAGTATTTCGTTACCTTCACCGACCTTGGCACACGACACACGTGGGTGACTGAGATCAAGAACAAGTCGGAAGTCCTCACGAGCTTTCTTGATTGGCAAACGGAAGCGGAAATGCAAAGCGGCAAGAAGTTGAAGGTGTTACGCACGGACAACGGGGGAGAATTCGTCAACGCCGAGTTCAACGCGTACCTCAAGTCAAAGGGCATACGAAGACAGCTCACGGTCCCGTACACACCTCAACACAATAGCATTGCGGAGCGAGTGAACCAATCACTGCTGGAGGGTGTGAGGAGCTTGCTCGCGGATAGCAACCTGCCTCTTCACTACTGGGGAGATGCGCTAGGCATGGCAAGTTGGCTGAAAAACCGTTTACCGACAAAGGGACTAGCGGCGGATATTACCCCTCACGAAGCGTTCTACAAGAGGAAGCCGAATCTGGAGTTCTTACGTGTTTGGGGCTGCATGGTGTAGTATTGTGAGGCGACGGGACCCGACCATAAGCTTCTCCCAAGGACCAAGTGGGGGATTCACTTGGGAATCTGCCCGGAGAGAAAAGGGTGGGTGATACGCGATGTGGAGATCGGAAAAGTCACGGCGACCAGAGATGTTACCTTCTACGAGCAAGACACCTACTTGGAGTGGAAGGGACAGAAACAAGGAGCTGTTGCAAAGGAAGCGACAGCAACACCAACTCCACTGGAGGAGATGATAGATGGGAGTGAGAAGGAGGGGATAGGGGCAGCCAATGGAAGCGGTGACAATGACGACTACGAAGACCACACTACACCGGGCTTCGACTGGGTATGGGAGGTGCAGGAGTTGTCCTCACCTTCAACTGCCGTGGAAGAGGGTAAAGAAGAAAATGATAAGGGAGAAGAAGCGGGTGACAACGCAACGAATGAAGCCGGTGAGGAAGAAGCTGAAATTTCAGATGTGGAAGAGAGTGTGGCTGAATCTGCCAGCACGGGGTACTCCGACCCATGGCGCATCATTGACACGGGGGACAATGAAAAGGCGGCAGTAGAGATTGAAGACCTACTTTCGGACGGTGCGATCGTCATTGGAAGGGAGATTGAAGGAGATTCCGTGCAACAAGGAGCGGATGATAATGCAGCAGCAAAGAAAAGTGGAGCTGAAAATGAGAATCAGGAGATGGGGAAAGGGAAACGAGTCAAGAAACCCAATCCCAAGTATGCCCAAATGCTTCTGACCTGCTGCAAGGACATTCACACCCACCTCCTCCTTACCACTACGGCAACGGCACTTCTATCAAAGGGGAAGGTGGAAAGCTACAAGCTGCCCACCGAGCCTCTCACTATTGAAGAGGCACTGTCCGGACTGAACAAGGAGCAATGGAGGGCTGCAATCCAGGAAGAACTTGATACCTTGGCTGAAAGGGGGACATGGGAACTTGTGAACATGCCCGAGGGGAGGAAAGCAGTGGGAGTGCGCTGGATTTTCAAGATCAAAACGGGAGACATGGGACAACTTGAACGCTTCAAGGCACGTCTTGTGGCTAAAGGCTACACTCAAGTGGAAGGAGAGGACTACGACCAACTCTACGCACCCGTTAGCAAGTTAACAACGGCAAGGACCATGCTTAAGGTGGTGACGGCAGGCGGGTACTTCATGGTGCAGCTGGACATTAAAAATGCCTTTCTCTATGGAATTTTGAAGGAGACTATCTACATGAATCAGCCACCGGGGTGTGAGGACGGCACGGACAGAAAGTGCAAACTCATCAAAGCACTTTATGGGCTGAAACAAAGCCCACGGGAGTGGTACCTAGCTATGGATGCGCAGCTGGAAAAAGGGGGGTTCATCAAGAGCCAATGTGACCGTGCATTCTACTGGAAGGGAGAGGGGGAGAACAAGGTGTTCCTACTCCTCTACGTGGATGATATCCTAGTGGCTGGAGCAAAGGAAGAGAAGGTGGAGGAGGTGTGCACTCACCTCGCAGCTGTATTTCAGGTGAAGAAGATCCCAAGGACTACTCTCTTCCTTGGAATGAACATAGAGAGGAACAAGGAGGAGAAGAAGTTGCTGCTATACCAGAAGAAGTACTTTCAGAGGTTGCGGGAGAGGTTTGGAGGTCAATGCAAGACCAAACCAGTGACAACACCTCTCAGCGGCCTTGCGGACAAGGAGGTCGATGTGGGAGCAGAGATTGAGGCATGGGGCAACAAGGAGAAAGCACTCAAAGCTTACCAATCCATGGTAGGCTCAGTCATGTACCCGGTGTCATGCACACGGGTTGATGTGGCCTACGCTGCAAGCTTTATTGGGCAGAGAGTGTTGCAGCCCGAGGGACGCAAGTGGAAGGAAATGGAGCGGACTATCACTTACCTCCTGCAGCGGGACGATGAGGGGCTGCTGTTTGAAGGTGGAGAGGAGAGCCTAGAGCTAGTGGGGTATGCTGATGCCTCACACGGATCAGACAAGATTGATGGGAGGGGAGCCTATGGCTATGTCTACCTCCTTCGTGGAACGGCAATCATGTGGCAAGCCAAGAAGCTCACCGACGTTGCTCTATCCACCACGGAGTCTGAATACATGGCGCTGTTTTATGCATGCCAAGAAGGTGTGTGGCTGAGGCGTCTACTTCAGGAGATGGGGGTCAACGGGGACGGACCTACAATGATCAAATCGGACAGCAAATCGGCAATTGACCTCACACGAAATGACAACTGGCATGGGCGCACGAAACACATGAACGTGCGATACCATTGGGTACGGGAGCAGCTACAGAAGAAGGCATTCACCTTCGTGCACGTGGGAACGCATGAGCAGCCAGCGGATTTCCTCACCAAGGTGCTACCAAAGGCAAACTTTGAGTTTTGCACGTATTTTATCGGCATACGTACCTTGCAGGACTTGCGGGGGAGCAGCGGAGCAGCAACCCAAGATGCTACACCAACGTACGGACAAGCTCAGCAAGAGAAGAAGAAGGCTGGTAACATGGTAACCACAGGAGCATAGGAGAGTGGCAGCTGGCAAACCACGGGGGAGATTGTTAGGGTGGTTCGCCACTGCCCTAGTGCCTACCGACCTACGCACTTCACCTAGGGATGGTAGCACGACACTATGAACGGTGGGAAATGTCGACCTAATGAGGAGAACCGACAGCTATAACGGTGGGGCTGCATGCTAAGGAGCTAAGGAGGGAAGGCGAGAAGAAAGCGGGAAAAACGGAATGGTGGGAGAGTGGGTTTCAGGAAATGTCGAGAAGACATTTCCGTAACCTAAAATGTCCAACCGCAACCGAACCGTGTTCGGTGCGAATGAGACAACCATGTTTCGGTTCCGGTGTCGGTTACCGAAATCGGTTCCGCATGCGACTCGGGCTGAAACGCGGATGACGCGTTACGCGAGGTGCACATCACATTTCGAAATGCCTAAATGTGTTTGTTTTCAATCAGTTCTTTGTACTTCTCTGTTTTGAGTGAAATCAGTCCTGAAAAACAAGAAATTCTTTCCAAGCATTTACTACCTTCAACGCTAGCCGGAGGCTATACCAAAACTAAAAGCAGCTTCGTCAATTAATCGCGCAAACAGCAAAAAATGGTGGCATTGCGGCGGTTACCGCCGGGATACGGCTTCCGCCCGACGGACGAGGAGCTGGTCCAAGGCTACCTGCGGCGGAAGGTGGAGAACCGCCTCGCGGACCACCACGCTGGGCTGATCGCTGGGGTCGACATTCTCCGCTACGAGCCGTGAGACCTGCCCGACCAGTCGCCTCTCGATGCCGGCGAGTGGTACTTCTTCTACACGCTCGAGAAGAAATATCCGGACGGCTCGCGCGTGAATCGCGCCACGCCGAGAGGGTACTGGAAGTCGACCGGCAAGGACAGGCGCGTGTGCAGCTCGCGCACGTCGCGACAAATCGGTTCCAAGAAGACGCTCGTGTTCAAGATGGGGAGGGCGCCACGTGGCGATCCGACGGAGTGGATGATGTATGAGTACCGGCTGGAGCCCGCGGTGGACTTGGTGCTGGGCCGCTTGTTCAAGAAGCCGCCTGCTGCGAGCGCTGCGAGCGAGCCGCCTGCTTCGAGCGAGCCGCATGCTTCGAGCGAGCCGCCTGCTGCGAGCGAGCCGCCTGCTGCGAGCGAGCCGCCTGCTGCGAGCGAGCCACCTGCTTCGAGCGAGCCGCGTGCTTCGATCGAGCAGCTGATGGACGTTCTGGAGCTCGAGGAGGCCGACCTCGACCATTCCGCCGCGCCGCGTGTGCCCGTTGCCGTGCCTGAGAGCGACGTGGATCTGGACACATTCTGGGAGAACATTTATCGGCAAGCTGTGTCGGCTGCGGGCGCGGCGGGGGGCCACGTGGCGGAGCATGGGGCCAGCAACGTGACAAGCCATGTGGCGGAGCACGGGCCGGGCCACGTGGCGGAGCATGAGGAGAGCCACGTGGTAGAGGACGACGAGTGGTTGTACTCGGAGCTGCCGCCGCTTGATCTCCCCGAGGGCTTCTTCGTCGACGACAGCCACGCCGCCCTCCCCGCCGCTCCCCCCGCTCCCACCGCTTTTGCTGCCCCAGGTGCGCCTAGTGCGCGTGCGATGGCGGCGCCCGATGGTTTCGCGCCTGCTGGCGCAGTGCTTGGAGTGGCAGAGCGGGGAGCACCCAGAGCAGCGACCGCATCGGCAGTACGCTCGAGGCCGGCGGCGTCCGCGCCCATCCGGCCAGCGCCCCTGCAACCAGCGCCCCTGCAACCAGCGCCTCTGCAACCAGCGCCCCTGCAACCAGCGCCCCTGCAACCAGCGCCCCTGCAACCAGCAGGCGCAACCACCTTCGCAGAGGCCCTCGCAGCGCGGGCGAAGGCCAGAGCGGCACAAGGTGCCGTCGTCGCCGCCGCCACAGCAGCAGCAGCAGCAGCAGCAGCAGAGAGGCTTTGCACCGCTCGCGGCCGCTCCCTTCGCCGTCGTTCCCCTCGTAGCCGCTCCTCTTGCCTTCGTTCCCCTCTTTGTCGCTCCTGTCACTGCCGCTCCCCTCGCTGCCGTTCCCCTCGCTGCCGCTCCGCTCGCCGTCGTTCCCCTTGCTGTCGCTCCCCTCGCCACCGCTCCCCTCACTGCCGCTCCCCTGGGCGGCACACGTGCGAGAGCAACGGGCTGGGCGAAGTCGAGGCCTGTGCGCGCAGCTGGTGCCGTCATGCACGGGCGGCGCATGCAGGCGCTCAACACGCCGCAGCTGGCGGGTGGCAGCAGCGGAGTGCGCCTGGCGAGCACCGGCGGTTGGAGCAGCGGCACGCCGTCTCGGAATCTGAGCGCGTGCCCTGCCCCTCACACACAGTTGCCCCTCACACACAGTTGCCCCTCACACACAGTTGTCCCTCACACACAGTTGCCCCTCACACACAGTTGCCCCTCACACACAGTTGCCCCTCACACACAGTTGCCCCTCACACACAGTTGCCCCTCACACACAGTTGCCCCTCACACACAGTTGCCCCTCACACACAGTTGCCCCTCACACACAGTTGCCCCTCACACACAGTTGCCCCTCACATACAGTTGCCCCTCACACACAATTGCCCCTCACACACAGTTGCCCCTCACACACAGTTGCCCCTCACACACAGTTGCCCCTCACACACAGTTGCCCCCACACACACTTGCCCCTCACACACAGTTGCCCCTCACACACAGTTGCCCCTCACACACAGTTGCCCCTCACACACAGTTGCCCCTCACATACAGTTGCCCCTCACACACAATTGCCCCTCACACAAAGTTGCCCCTCACACACAGTTGCCCCTCACACACAGTTGCCCCTCACACACAGTTGCCCCTCACACACACTTGCCCCTCACACACAGTTGCCCCTCACACACAGTTGCCCCTCACACACAGTTGCCCCTCACACATAGTTGCCCCTCACACACAGTTGCCCCTCACACACAGTTGCCCCTCACACACAGTTGCCCCTCACACACAGTTGCCCCTCACACACAGTTGCCCCTCACACACAGTGCTCCTCACACACAGTTGCCCCTCACACACAGTTGCCCCTCACACACAGTTGCCCCTCACACACAGTTGCCCCTCACACACAGTTGCATCTCGCGGAGGTATTGCGGCTGCTGAGTTAGTCTTCTCAATTTTTTTCAAATTTCCAGGCTTTGTTAGTTTCTTTCCGCCGTTCCGCCTCATGGCATTTCTTGACTATTCCGCACCTTCCTCCTCTCCATCTCTCTCTGAAACAGAGATGATGATGAGGACTATCTCATGGGTGCTCAAGAGTGGTCTAGGGGGATGGATCAGCATGAGGGCATGGTAGCAGCAACACCCGTAGCAGCAACACCCGTAGCAGCAACATCCATAGCAGTGTTTGATGGGGGGGGTCTGGATTCACACATGGAGCTCAGCGCCGTCACAGGTACACCGCGCTAGCCACCACCGTCCTACACTGTCCACGCGGGCCTTTTAGCTGCTTATTCTCATCCCATCTGTTGCGACCTTTTTCCACGCCTCTGCTGTGTTTCCGAGAAGCCTTTGCTTCTCCCTTATGCGCCTTGACAGTCGCTGATGGCTGTGCCTGTGTCTGCGCGCGCGTGCGAGCGTGTGTGTGTGTGCGCGCGCGCGCGTGCGCGTGCGAGGGGGTGAGGATGTGCGTGTGTGTGCGCGCGCGCACATGCGTGTATGTCTGCGCGTGTGTGTGTGTGTCGCCCTCTCCTCTGTTCTGTGTGTGGCTGACGTCACAAGGCGTTTCAGTGTGGACGAACTGGACGGACACGGGGCTCGCATGACACACCACGCTGCTGCCAATTCTGCTGTGGCAGACGGTGATTTGGTGGTCCTGCTGCTGGGCCGCCAGGTGCGTTGTGTGTGGTAGGCCAAGAGGAGAGAGGGGTAAGAATACTGCCCGTACCGCATGATGTTGCGGTAGAGGCTGGTGCGGTAGAGGCCGGTGCGGTAGAGGCCGGTGCGGTAGAGGCTGGTGCGGTAGAGGCCGGTGCGGTAGAGGCCGGTGCGGTAGAGGCCGGTGCGGTAGAGGCCGGTGCGGTAGAGGCTGGTGCGGTAGGGGCTGGTGCGGTAGAGGCTGGTGCAGTAGAGGCTGGTGCGGTAGAGGCTGGTGCGGTAGAGGCTGGTGCGGTAGAGGCTAGTGCGGTAGAGGCTGGTGCGGTAGAGGCCAGTGCGGTAGAGGCTGGTGCGGTAGAGGCCGGTGCGGTAGAGGCTAGTGCGGTAGAGGCCGGTGCGGTAGAGGCCGGTGCGGTAGAGGCTGGTGCGGTAGAGGCTGGTGCAGTAGAGGACGGTGCGGTAGAGGCCGGTGCGGTAGAGGCCGGTGCGGTAGAGGCCGGTGCGGTAGAGGCCGGTGCGGTAGAGGCCGGTGCGATAGAGGCCGGTGCGGTAGAGACCGGTGCGGTAGAGGCTGGTGCGGTAGAGGCTGGTGCGGTAGAGGCTGGTGCGGTAGAGGCTGGTGCGGTAGAGGCTGGTGCGGTAGAGGCTGGTGCGGTAGAGGCTGGTGCGGTAGAGGCTGGTGCGGTAGAGGTGTTGAGTGATGCTACCATTCGCATTCACGTCTGTCTGCCTCCCATCATATGTTCGTGCGTTGCATGCGTGTTGTGAGTGTGTGTGAGAATTTGTGTTTTGTGCGGTTTGGATTTTCTGAGTGTGTGTGAATGTTATTTGGCTTGAGCAGATATCTGAAGTGACTCCACTGCTCAAGAGCTTTCCGACGAACCAAGAATCACTTCAATCGGACCACGAACAAGAAAGTTACGAACGTTGGAGTTCGTATGCTTTTGATATTTGGTTGTGGTGACCATGGAGAGTTGTGGGGTTGACTCAATATGGGGTACAGACTTTTGGGGGTTGGGAAACTCGTCACTACTACTGTAGTTGCTGCCAATTGGTTGGGAGAAACCAAACCAGGTTGGCAAGTGTGGCCAAGTTGGGTTGAGGTGGATTGTGGAGGTTGGGATAGTGACAAAGGTCAAAGTCGGGTTGCCTATGGGGAAGGGAATTGTGTGGCATGGAGTTTTCTTTGGTTGGGGACTCCTTGGGACCTTCCCTCTCGTCCTCCTCTTTCCTCCTACCTGGTTTAGTGCTACTCTAACTCTCTTGTGTGCTACTCTTGTGAACTTGTGAAACTATTGTGAGTGAATTTAATTTCTATGTGGCAGCATACCCCCTGGTGCGCCGAGAAGCATAACTCGAGATTTACTCCACCTTTTGATACGATTCAAATTGTGAATGATATCCACGAGCAAGGGCTATAACATACTCGAGTTTGAGACGATTCTAACGGTGCACGTTTCGTCGACAACGTTTCTTATGAAGTCGCAGTTTCTGTCCAGAATTTCAAGCGAACGATTTTGAGAAATTTAGGCTCCTAATCTTCACAGACTCGATCCTTAGTCTCTAACAAGTGGTATCAGAGCTGATTAAGGACTTTGTGGAGAGTCTACTGAAGTGTGAAGACCCTCCTAGACCCACCATGGCCTGTGGGCGTGCCTAAGTGGAGTTCTGGAGGTTGAATGTGACTTCCGCTAAGGGGAAACTCTGCCGAAATTTTCGTTGGCGCCGACAGTTGTGAAGATTGTGTGGATCTACATATTGACCAGCAAAAGGGGGAGCTGAAACCTCTGATTGGGAGAAGAGAAGATGAGTCAAGGGGGTGGAGAAGCAGCTGAGAAGAAGAGTGAGCCGCCACCATCCAAGATTGAGGCATTGGATGGCTCCAACTATGAGGAATGGAGTGGGCGGATGAGGAGCGCCTTCAAGCGCTACAAGCTGCTCAAATTGGCTATGGGAGAAGAGAAGATGTCGGAGGAAGGAGATGCCCGCGATGGGTGGATTGAGAGGAGCGCGGTGCTGTACGACTTGATTCTACAGTCGGTCAACAACGACATGTTCCAGCATATCAAGGATTTGGTGGAGCTCGATTACTTGGGACCGAAGGCGTGGAAGCTGCTACGCGACGTGGTTCAACCCAGCACGCTGCCGATGGTGATCGTATTGGAGAAGGAGTTGGCTGCCCTCTCCATGCGGCCGGGAGATGATGTGAAGCCGGTCCTTGACAAGATCAAGGACACCTATGCGAGGATGGCAGCGGCGGGCAGCGAAGTGTCGCAGATGCAACAGTGCACCAAGATCATCTCGGTGCTCGACAACTCGTGGGACAACCTCATCCCCACCCTCAACGTTCAGCAGGACAAATGGACGCCTGAGTGGCTACGGCAGCAGATCCTGCAGGAGGACTTCCGCAGGCGCCACACGGGAGGTGGTGCTGCCAACAAAACTGCTGAGGGGTATGGAGCTGCAGGAGGCAGCAGGGGGAGAGGGGGAGGGAGAGGCCGAGGCCGTGGGAGAGGCTTTGGCAGAGGAAGAGGTCGAGGTGACTACAATGAGGGGCATGGGAGCTCTGGTGGCAAGGGGAGCACCCGAATGGAGGGTGCGTGCTGGTACTGCAAGAAGGCTAGACACCCGTGGTTCAAGTGTTTCAGCCGGCCTGAGGGATGGGCGCCCCCAGGCATGAAGCCGCCAAGTGGTGAACGTGCACGAGGTGGCGCTGTGCAAGGTTCAGGTGCACAAGGTGATGGTGCACAAGGTAAAGCCGACCCTGGGATGTTCCTCATGGTTGAGGATGTGCAAGGGAGTGGGGGTGATGTGGGTTCAGTAGGGAAGGTTGTGATGCACCCCCTCACTCACTGGGTGATCGATTCAGGTTGCACGAATCATATGACCCCACGAGCAGATTTGCTTGATGAGGTAAAACCTCCTGGGAAGATCAAGTTTGTGGCTGCCGCTTCAGGTGCTTTGCTCCCTGTGATTGGTGTTGGGAATGCCAAGGTGATGGGAGCCAATGGAGAGCTTGTGGGGCTTGGGAATGTGCTGTTGGTTGAAGGTTTGTCCGCTAACCTTCTTTCTGTGCGTCGGCTGCAGAAGAGCAAGGCTGAAGTTACCTTCGGCCCAACCAGCTGCCGTGCAAAGCTTGGAAAGTTGCTGCTGTGGAACTTGGAGGAGAAGAGCAGCTGAATCAAGGACCTATGGCAGCTGCCCATCATCCCTTGGAAGGGGAAACCACCAGCAACGGCAAAGGCAGCGGCAGCGGCTAAAGCAGCTGCGGGAGGAGAGGAGACTGCACCAACTGCAGGGGCCCTGGATGCAGTCAAGAAGGTGCAGCAGTCACGGCAACCACATGGTGAGGTGCTTGCTGGTGTGGATGCGACAGCTGCATGGGCAAAGGCTTCATCTGGGAGTGGTGAGGCTGATTGGGAGACGTGGCATGAGAGGCTGTGCCATGTGAACATTCCTATGCTGCAGAAGTTGGTAAAGGATGGGTGCTTGAAGGGGCTGGAGGTGAAGGGGGGAGCAAAGGAGATTGGGAGCTGCCCTACCTGCCTTGAGACCAAATTCACAAAGTTTCCCTTCAGCAGCAGCACAGGACCAGCAAAGGCACCACTTGCACTAGTGCACATGGATGTGGTGGGCCCCACGAGGGCCTTTTCTCTCTCGGGCAGCCGCTACTTCTTGACAATTGTGGACGACCACACGCGTGCGGTGTGGGTGTACCCTCTCAAGACTAAGGGGGAGGTGGCAGCGGCTGTTCTTAAGGAGTGGATGCCGAGAGCACAAAGGGAGAGCGGACACAAGGTGAAGGTGATCCGCACTGACAACGGAGGAGAGTTCATCGGCGCTGATTTTGAGAAGGAGCTGAAGCGGAAGGGGATCCAGCATCAGCTCACAGTGCCTTACAACCCTCAGCAGAATGGCGTGGCTGAGCGGTTCAACCGGACCCTGCAGGAAGGTGCTCGCACTCTCCTTGGGCGTGCAGGGCTGCCGGATCCGTTTTGGGTGACAGCACTGCGGCAGGTCGTTGTTGTGAAGAACCGGGTGCTGGCGACTGTGGGGGACAAGCAATGGGTCCCCTACACCAAGTGGTATGGGAGTGTGCCTGCAGTCAACATGCTGAGAACTTATGGCTGTATGGTGGTGTTTCATGTGCCTAAGGAGAAGAGGGGAAAACTGGAAGCTTCTGGGAGATGGGGTGTGCACTTGGGGCTTGCTAAGGATCACAAGGGCTGGCTGATTTGGGACTTGACCAGCCAGCAGCTGACTGTGTCGAGGGATGTGAAGTTCCTTGAGTCCTTGTACTACAAGGAGTGGAAGCAGCAGCAGCAGAAGCTTCCCACTACACCGCTGATCATTGAGGCTGATGAGGTGCAGCGGCCTTCGAGGCAAGTGCAGGTCACTGCCTCAGAGGAGGAGATTTCTGGGGTGACTGGGGATGGGGGAGAACCTGAGGTGGAGGAGCAGCAGCAGCAGCAGCAGCAGCAGCCGCAGCAGCAGCAGCAGCAGCCACAGCAGCAGCAGCAAGGTGCTCCACAAGGTGCCGCGCGTCCGGCTGACCGTCCCCGGAGGGAAGTGCGCCCTCCTAACCGGCTGACCTATCCGAGCTTTGGCAAGCCAAAGGTGGTACGGGCTGGGAGTGTGGCTGAGCAGTGTGATGAGGATGAGATAGCACACTGCTACTGGGCAGCCGTCCCTGAGCCCAAGACGTTAGCCGAGGCATTGAGCGGGCCCGACGCTGAGAAGTGGAAGCAGAGTGTGAAGGAGGAGTATGACTCTCTGCTGGAGAATGAGACGTGGGAGTTGTGTGAGCTGCCACCTGGGAAGAAGGCCATTTCTTCCAAGCTGATCTTCAGGCATAAGTACGGACCCGATGGGGAGCTGACCCGCTACAAGTCAAGGCTTGTGGCTAAGGGGTTCCAACAGACAAAGGGGAAGGATTTTGATGATATCTTTGCTCCTGTAGGGAAAGGCACTACACTGAGGACGATGTTGGCAATGGCTGCAAACCGTGGCTGGAAGATCAAGCAGATGGACATAATCACTGCATTCCTCAATGGAATCATTCTGGAGGAGCTGTACATGCTGCAGCCTGAGGGGTTGGATGATGGGAGCGGCAGGGTGTGCAGGCTCAAGAAGGCCATCTATGGCCTGAAGCAGGCTCCTCGCGCATGGTACCACAAGCTGGAGGAGACACTGCTGGCCGGGGGGTTCAAGAAGAGCGAGTGTGATCACAGCCTGTTCCTGCTGCAAGAGAAGGAGCAGTTCCTCATGCTCCTGGTGTACGTGGACGACATCCTGCTCTTCTCTGAGTCGTCTGCAATGATTGAACGTGTGGAGGAGATGCTGGAAATGCAGTTCAAGTGCTCCAAGATGGGAGATGTGAAGTACTACCTTGGCATGCATGTGGAGAGGGACCTTGACAAGGGAGTGTTGAGGTTGCACCAGAGAAAGTATTGTGAGGGGCTGGCTAAGAAGTATGGGCTGCAAGATGGAGGAAAGCCAGCCACCCCACTGCCTTCGGGGTTCACTGTGGAGCCCTGTGCTGATGAGGAGGTGGTGGGTGAGAGTGACAGGAAACATTTTCATTCCATGGTTGGGGCACTCAACTATGCGGCTAACCACACACGGCCTGACATTGCCTTTGCAACATCTAGGCTTGCCAGTGTGGTTTCACGCCCCAGTCATGAGCAGCTGGAAGTGGCCAAGAGGTTGGTCCGCTATGTGAGCGCTACAGCGTCTGTGGGTTTGGAGTACAGTGCTTTGAGGCAGAGGCTGCAGAGGGGTGCAGCTGATTTGAGCAAGGGGGAGATGCTCCTGACCTGCTACACTGACGCTAGCTTCAACTCGGTGAAAGCGGATGGCACCAGCATTGGAGGCTATGTGTGCCTGTTCGGAGGTGGTGCAGTGAGCTGGCGCAGTAAGAAGCAGAATGAAGTGGGGCAGTCCTCGTGTGAGACAGAGTACATGGCCCTGCATTATGGGGCAAAGGAGGTGGTGTGGCTGAGGCGTTTGTTGGAGGAGATTGGAGTTGGTCAGAGGGAGCCGACTGTGATTTTCTGTGACAATGAGTCGGCGGTGAAGCTAGCAAAAAATGCTTGTCTTCATGGGCTGACCAAACACATCAGGCCTAAGTGGCACTGGGTGAGAAGGCTCTTGGACAAGGAGGTGCGGCTGGAGATTGTGAAGACCCATCAGCAGGCGGCTGACATTCTCACCAAGCGCCTGGCTGAATCTGAGCATTGGAAGGGCATGAAGCTTGCTGGGATGAGTGTGCATTGAGGATGCGTGCTTGAGCTATGACATGTGGGATGATGGTTGGCAGCCAGAGGGGGAGTTTGTTGAGTGATGCTACCATTCGCATTCACATCTGTCTGCCTCCCATCATATGTTCGTGCGTTGCATGCGTGTTGTGAGTGTGTGTGAGAATTTGTGTTTTGTGCGGTTTGGATTTTCTGAGTGTGTGTGAATGTTATTTGGCTTGAGCAGATATCTGAAGTGACTCCACTGCTCAAGAGCTTTCCGACGAACCAAGAATCACTTCAATCGGACCACGAACAAGAAAGTTACGAACGTTGGAGTTCGTATGCTTTTGATATTTGGTTGTGGTGACCATGGAGAGTTGTGGGGTTGACTCAATATGGGGTAAAGACTTTTGGGGGTTGGGAAACTCGTCACTACTACTGTAGTTGCTGCCAATTGGTTGGGAGAAACCAAACCAGGTTGGCAAGTGTGGCCAAGTTGGGTTGAGGTGGATTGTGGAGGTTGGGATAGTGACAAAGGTCAAAGTTGGGTTGCCTATGGGGAAAGGAATTGTGTGGCATGGAGTTTTCTTTGGTTGGGGACTCCTTGGGACCTTCCCTCTCGTCCTCCTCTTTCCTCCTACCTGGTTTAGTGCTACTCTAACTCTCTTGTGTGCTACTCTTGTGAACTTGTGAAACTATTGTGAGTGAATTTAATTTCTATGTGGCAGCATACCCCCTGGTGCGCCGAGAAGCATAACTCGAGATTTACTCCACCTTTTGATACGATTCAAATTGTGAATGATAGCCACGAACAAGGGCTATAACATAATCGAGTTTGAGACGATTCTAACGGTGCACGTTTCGTCGACAACGTTTCTTGTGAAGTCGCGGTTTCTGTCCAGAATTTCAAGCCAACGATTTTGAGAAATTTAGGCTCCTAATCTTCACAGACTCGATCCTTAGTCTCTAACAAGAGGCTGGTGCGGTAGAGGCTGGTGCGGTTGAGGCTGGTGCGGTAGAGGCTGGTGCGGTAGAGGCTGGTGCGGTAGAGGCTGGTGCGGTAGAGGCTGGTGCGGTAGAGGCTGGTGCGGTAGAGGCTGGTGCGGTAGAGGCTGGTGCGGTAGAGGCTAGTGCGGTAGAGGCTGGTGCAGTAGAGGCTGGTGCGGTAGAGGCTGGTGCGGTAGAGGCTGGTGCGGAAGAGGGAGGTGCGGTGGTGGAAGAGGGAGGTGCGGTGGCGGAAGAAGGAGGTGCAGTGGTGGAAGAGGGAGATGCAGTGGTGGAAGAGGGAGGTGCAGTGGTGGAAGAGGGAGGTGCAGTGGTGGAAGAGGGAGGTGCGGTGGTGGAAGAGGGAGGTGTGTGTGCTGGTGCTCGTCCCATGGCAGATCTCATCACACAGTCTGCTTGGAAAACACGCACGCAGCGCCACCTGTGGCAGCAGTACCTGCCCGTTTGGCTCTCAGTTAACCTAGGAGTTGCTTCCTCTGCTGCTGTTTTCACACCAGCAAGAGCAGCAGCAGCAGCAGCATAACAGCAGCAGGGGCATGGGCAGGTTCAGAGGCAGCAGCTGCTCCAGCATAAGCTGGAGCAGATTCAGCAGGGTGGTGCGGCGGCACCTAGTGACGGTTGCCACAGGGTGGGTTGACTGGCTGCAGCAGCAGGATACTTGCAGCGTTGCTTGCTGAAATATAAAGCGTGCCCAGGGCCACAGGTTGTGGTGCAGTGACAGCAGAGGAGTTGGATGGATGTGTGGCAGCAAGGGGCGATTGAGAGAGCTGGATTAGGTGGAGCTGTCTTCCTGGAGTCTGCTTGCTCTGCTGCTGCGCCCGCTGGTGATGGCAGTGAGGCGATGGCCGCATGAGCAGAGGCTGTCGCTGTGGGTGGCCTTGGCGCAATGGTGTGTTGCGTTGTTGTGGGTGTGATCTTGGCACCTACGTAGCATGTTTTGCCTCGCTTTCTTGCCACTTTAGGTGAACATTAGACAGGCGGGTTGTTGATCTGAAAGCTGCAAAAATTGCAGCTCTGGTGGCAGATAAACGCCACCAATAGGAATGAGTTGTCCTTGTAAATAACAAGATCGTGCGCTGACAGCTCCGATTAATGGAGATACAAAAAGGAAACCTCTTGAATACTGAAAATCCCCGGATATGAGAACATTTTTTTTTAAGTTCTACTTCAAAAAAATTGAGGATTGTGATTCGACTAGAGTTTGCTGTAAAGGAGACAAGCTCCTTCACATTCTCACAGGTCCAATTGACCTGCCACCTTCTCATCTTCAGATCTTGATTTGCCACCTAGTCGCCTTGATTCGCCCGTCGATTTGAAGAATCAGGACGACGATTCTCGTGTTGGGCTGAGGAAAGCCCTTAGGATCTTTGCAGGGCTAAACTCTGAGTAGTAATTTGTAATAGCAGAAGCGTTTAATGATAAGTCTTTGAACCACCTTGTGCTGGTATGTGAGGGCAAAGTAGATTGACTAAAACAAAGAGATACAATCTTTTTATAGGAGTACAAGGAATATGAAAAGGTACAAACTGTTTTACTGTTGCTGTTGCGGTTCGATACAGTGACGACTCGGGCAACTGCTCAATAACGAGTCAGTTGTTTGTCCTTGCTGTCGCGCTGTACTTGTCAGGTCAAAGGTCGCTGACCTTTGACTTTCGCGTAACCTCCAGCAGCTGCTCAATCTCCGAGGGTTGACTCGTCGATGCTTCGTTGTGTTTCTCCTCGTTTACGACTTAGTGTTTCGACACAACAGAGGTGCTTAAATTTCTTGTTTCCAACATCTCGCGCGCAAGATCCCGCATCTGACGGTCACGATCGGCACGCGTTGGATCCTGGTCGCGATTTGCGCGTGCAGAATCTCGATCGTGATCTGCCCGAGCAGAATCGCGATGAGTGCGATCTGCTCGGGCAGATTCGCGATGATTGCAGCCTGCAAAAGCAAGACCGCGACTCCATTGCGGTCTGTAGGCGCAGAAACGGTTAGCGACCCGCCGCTACAGCCCCGCCCTACCCCTCTCACCGGTCGCGGCCTCCACCTGCAGCAGCCGCCGAGAGCCCTGCAGCAGCTGCTGTCCCTCCTGCCGCCGCCGAGCCTACCGCCACCGGTGTCGCGAGCCGCCGCCGCCGCTGCCGACGCTGCTGCCCCGGCCCTGCCCTGCAGCCGAGCCGCGACCCCGACCCTGCCGGCGCACCACGCCCCTGCCCCTCCAGTGGCGGCCACCCTGCCCACCTGCCCCTGGTAAGCGCGTCGCCGCCCTGCCGAACCGCCCTGCCGAGCCGCGCCGTTTAGCCGAGTCGCGCTACCGCTACTGCTGCCATGCTCCTGCTGCTGCTGTCATGGCCAGTCCCAATGTAATTACCTTCGATGCTGAGGGTCGAGCGATCCATTTTGAGGTCTGGGTCGATGATCTGCACCTTTTCTTACAGTGCGATAGTAAGGACAGTCTCTCACTGTTCGATCTCCCGTCTGGCGCCTCTGCTGCCCCTGCTGCCGATGCTGACAGTACTGTTCGCTCACAGTGGACCACACGCGATGCTGCTGCCCGCCTTGCTGTGCGTAGTCACCTGCCGTCCTCTGAGCGTACGCACTTTAGTCAGTACAAGAGTGCTAAGACCCTGTACGACGCTGTAGTTGCACGCTACTCCTCCCCTGCCACTGCTGCCCTTAGCCGCCTCATGCTGCCGTACCTGTTCCCTGACCTCGCCGCCTTTGCCACAGTCGCTGACCTCATTACGCACCTCCGCACTAGTGACACCCGCTACCGCGCTGCGCTTCCTGCTGAGTTCTGCGCCAAGAACCCCCCCCCATGTACATCACCCTCTACTTCCTAGTCACTCGGCTCCCTGACTCCCTTCACTCGGTCAGGGACCACTTCCTCTCTGTTTGCCCCACCACACTCACCGTTGACCTCCTCGAGGAGCGCCTCCTTGCAGTTGAAAAGAGTATAGTCGCTGTAGGAGCCTCTTGTGGTGACCCTCGTGCCCCTTTCTTTGAGGGGTGCTCCCCCGTCCCCCTTTTGCCCTCTGTTGCCTCTTCTGCTGCTGTCGACCTCGTTGGCATCGAGTCGGTCGGCGCTGCGTCTGCTCCTAGTGGGAGGCGCCGCAACGGCAAGGGCAAGAGGCGCGAGGCGCTGGAGGAGATGGCGGGGGCGGCGGTGGTGGCGGTGGAGGCGGCGGAGGGGGTGGGGGTGGGAGTGCTGGCGGGGGTGGGGGCTTCGGTGGCGGCGGTGGAGGTGGAGGCGGCGGCGGCGGCAGCAGCGGTGGGGGTGGAGGCGGCGGTGGGGGTGAAGGCGGCGGCGGCGGCGGCGGCGGAGGTGGAGCTGGTCGGGGTGGAGTTGTGCAGCGGGGAGACTCTGGTGGTGGTCAGCGCCAGCAGCAGCAGCGCTCTCGTGAGACCCCGCCGCCCCAGCAGCTTCGTGAGTGGTACGCTGTGCGCCAGCGGTCTGGGGGTGCTGGTCCCTGTGCCTACGTCCTGCGTACAGGCGACCGCACTGGGGAGCCCTGCGGCGGGCCGCACGCCACCCAGCGCTGCTTTGGCCGCCTGACAGACGCCTGGCGTATCCAGTTCCCGGACGCCACTGAGATCCCTCGCTGGGGTGAGCTGCTCAAGTCGGGTGTAGCTATCTTTGATCTTGATTATGATGCTATTCTTGCTGCCATGTATGATGTGTCTACTAGTGCTGAGGGTGACTGTTACCTGTGTGTTCCGCCTGACCCGGGCATTGAGGCTGCTGCTGTAGGTGCTAGTGAGTCTGTTGCTCCAGGTGCTGGTGAGTCTGCTCTCTCAAGTACCGCGTCGGCTCAGGTTTTGCACACCTTCACACTTGACTCGGGTGCTTCCCGCTCCTTCTTTCGAGACCGCAGCACACTCACGCCGCTTAGTCGGCCGGTTGCAGTCTCCCTGGCAGACCCCTCCGAGGGTCCTGTCCTTGCCCACTACTCCACTGTCCTACCGTGTCCGGCGGCTCCTTCTGGCTCCCTGTCAGGTCTTTACCTCCCCTCATTCTCTACGAACTTGGTGAGTGGTGCTGACCTACAGGATGGGGGGGTTGACCAGTTCACTCCTGCGAGTCAGCGAGTGACCCACTGCACGTGTGCTCGGACGGGCCGACACTTGGCCACGTTTACCCGTCAACCAGGGACGAGCGTGTACACACTGACTACCGAGTCTCCTCTGGTCACTACGTCTGGTCAGGTAGCTGCGTCGGGTCAGGTGTTTGCTGCAGCGTCCAGGTCTGGTCCTGAGTCTGCCCCCTGCTCGTGTCGCCTCCTGTCTCACCAGACTCTCCTCTGGCACCACCGGCTTGGTCACCCCTCCCTGCCTCGTCTCCGAGGCATGGCCTCCCGTGTCCTTATCTCTGGTCTCCCCCGGTCCCTCCCTCCCCTTCCCCCGGGGCCTGCCCCTACCTGCGTTCCCTGCGTCGAGGGGCGGCAGCGCGCCGCTCCTCACTCCTCCGAGTTTCCTCCGACAGAGGCTCCGCAGCACACTCTCCACATGGACGTGTGGGGCCCAGCTCGCGTCCGTGGACAAGGTCATGAGCGTTACTTCCTGCTGGTGGTTGACGACTACTCGCGTTACAGAACAGTCTTCCCCTTGCGCCGCAAAGGTGAGGTCAGTGAGGTGTTGATCGACTGGATCCGCGTTGCCCGTCTCCAGCTCAGAGAGAGTTTTGGCTCGAACTTTCTTGTCCTGCGTCTGCACTCCGACAGAGGTGGAGAGTTTACCTCCGACCTGCTGCGAGCCTTCTGTCGTGCGGAGGGCATCCGCCAGACGTTCACGCTTCCGGCCTCTTCACAGCAAAATGGGATTGCTGAGCACCGCATTGGCATGGTCATGGACGTCGCTCGTACGTCCATGATCCATGCAGCTGCTCCCCAGTTTCTGTGGCCGTTTGCAGTTCAGTACGCGGCGCATCAGATCAACCTTCAGCCCCGGGTCTCCATGCCGGAGACCTCCCCTACTTTGCGGTGCACGGGGAAGGTTGGTGATGCGTCGGCGTTCTGTGTCTGGGGATCTTGAGCTTTCGTCCGCGACTTGTCTGCGGACAAGCTGTCCTCTCATGCCGTTCCCTGCGTCTTCCTTGGCTTCCCCCCTGACACGCCTGGCTGGCAGTTTTACCACCCCACCTCGCGCCGTGTTCTGGCCTCCCAGGACGTCACCTTTGACGAGTCGGTTCCTTACTACCGTCTCTTCCCCTACCGCGCTGCCCCCCTCCCCCCCCCCCACCGCTCTTCCTCGCGCCAGGTCCCCCCCCGGTAGATCCCATCCCCCCTCAGGGTCTTGCCCCCTCAGGTGTGTCCCAGGTAGACGCTGTCGAGCCTGTCAAGGTAGCTGTTGACCTGGGTGCTGCTAGGGGTGCTGAGCCTGCGGGTGCCGGGTCTGGGGGTGTCGGGTCTGGGGGTAACGAGCTTGAGCGTGCGGAGCCTAGGGGTGCTGGGTCTGGGGGTGCTGAGCCTGGGGTTGCTGAGTCTGGGGGGGCGGAGCCTGAGGGTGCTGGGCCTGCTCGTGTGGAGTCTGGCGGTGCTGGGCTTGGATGTCCTACAGGTGCTTTGTCCCGGCGGGAGCTACTCTCTCCACAGGAGCAGCGTGAGTGGTTTGCTCGGTGCTGGAGCCGTGCTGCTGGAGCTGGTGGTGCTGCCGGAGCTGGAGGTTCTACTGCTACTGGGGGTGCTGGAGCCACGAGTCTTGGAAGTGCTCGTACTGGAGGTACAGGAGCAGCTGGGCCTGGTGGTGCTCCTGGTGCTGGAGCTGCCGGCGGTGCTGGAGCTGGCGGTGCTGCTGGAGTAGGTGCTGCTGGAGGTCCTGGAGCCGGAGCTGTTGCGTCTTCCGGTGGTCCTGTTGGAGCTGGAGCTACT